AAACTCCCATCAGTACCTTCCCACTTCAGGCAGCTAATGTTATAGAAAATTAACACCTACAAACCAGAACCCTTTCATAAAGTCGTGTGAGCTAGGAGGGCAGTTTCTTTCTTTTAAAGTTTTTTCAATTTTTTGAAAAAAAAAATTCAAATTTTTGAATTTTTTAAAGGAGGTCTCTCAACATCTGTATCACCCCCTCTCCTTCTGAAAGGCTGAGAGAACATATGGAAAGGGGGATAGAAAGATCAGAAGAGCCAGAGGTCAGAGTGGACTGGGTGAAAGCGTCTTCTAGGCAGGACGGGGCTGGTGCCCAGCAGCTGTGGTTACCTTCACAGATCTGCACCGGATTAAACCAGTCGACCACCATAGACAGGGAGGGGCTCACAGGGCCCCAGCCCTAACTGCGGAGCATTTGGCAGGTGAAGGCTGCTGAGTTCTTCAGCTCTGTGCGAATGCCACGTTGCCCATGTTCAGTGGGCAGCTGTGCACCTCTGCACACACAGGCAGCAGGAAGTGGATGGGGAGGGTTACAAAGAAGAAGGGAGAAGAGCAAGAGGAAGCATGAAGTCTGGAGGAAGAGCTGCTGCTGGGGTCTGGGAGCGGTGGAGAGAGTGGGAACAGGGCCTGGGTGTGACCTAAATACACTGAATTAATGCATGAAACTACCAAAATGTATAACAAAAATAATAAGGGGAAGAGACATAAAGAGAAAAAAGGAGAATATTGTCATAACTCACTGGTAGAGCTCTTACCTAGCACACATGATACCAATATCATCATCAAATGGGTCAAATCATCCCCTTCTCCAAGAAAGAAAAAGAAAAAAAGACAAAAAGAAGAAAATGGAAGCAATACAAAAATGAGCAAAATACACATAGCAAAGTCTTTTAAAGCATCTGTTTTTTCAGTTATAGCGTATTTCCCTTGTGTAATGCACTGGGCTCTAATTTTTTTTTTTTTAAGTTTGACAGATCTTTGTTTAACTATTGGAATCTGGTTCTTGGGGAAGTTAAGTGCAGACTTGTATTTAGAGGACGGTTTGGGTTAGAATGGCCTCCATAGGCGTGTATGTTTGACCGCTCGGTCCTCAGGTGGTGGAACTGAGAAGGATTAGGAGGTTGGAGGTGTGTCACTGGAGGCGGCAAGCTCTGAGGTTTCAAAAGCCCACCCCCTTCCCTGTTGGCTCTTTAGGCCTCATGGTTGTGTCTCAAGGTGTAAGCTTTCAGCTACTGCTCCGCTACTCCTTGCCTGCTCCCATGCTCCCTGCCATGCTGATCAGAGACTCTAATTTTCTGATGCCCTAAGCCCCATATGAATTCTTTCTTCTTCAAGTTGTCATGATGTCTTACCACAGCAACAGAAAACTAACCAAGACAAGTTATATCCTCAACAAGAAGGTAGTGTGTAGCAGTGCAGGCCGAGATTCTGGAGCCCAAGTGTCTGCCTTGCTTTCCCTCATACTCTGTGACCCTAACTACCAACAGTTAGCCAGTCTGGGCCTGAATTTCTTCACCTGTTCGATAGGAATCAAATGCTATCTATGACACAGAATTCTTATGAGAATTCAATGAGTCATTACATGCACAAAAGAGTACTGCCAAGCATAGAGCCTAAACACCCAGTGATGTCTAAGCAGCAATGCAGCCTTGAAGAGTGACAACCTCTCCAGCCTTGTGGCCCTCAGCAGGCAGTCCCAAAAGCCTATTCCTGTGGCCAGGGTTTGCTGGAGCAGATTTTCAGGAAAGAGCAGCAAAATGTAAAGTCATCCATCTCACCCGACTGACATGCGAAACAGCGTGTTCCAGGGAGACATCCTGTACACCAACTTGCTGTTATCTTTCAGAATTCCAGGCAGAGTGGGATCCAGGGTGGTGAGGGACTAAGAGCATCATGCAACGTGCCCTTTCCCCTCTTTAGCCCCTAACAGCTCCCACTGCCTTCCTGTCTCTCCCACTGTTATTCATTTTACTCCACATTTGTGGATCATCACAGCTGGAGGTGAACAGGAAGTCTGTCCCATGTATTAATTATTTTAAATTCCCAGTTATCTTGACTTTGAAATGTGAAGTGAAGCTGCCCTACAGTTGGCCCAGTGTCTGTCACAAAGTCGCCTTTCACTGTGGAATTTGGAACTTCATCTAGCACCTAGGAGCATGAAAAACTTTTGCACACACACAGCAGAATGCTAAGCAGAGCTGTAACTGGCTATTCACAAATAAAGACATGAAAATGGCCAGTATAGATGTTCTGTTCAGGGAGTACACCTGAAAGCTCTCTCAGAGCTGCTTGCACACTCATTTTTTTCTCTCTACTTCTCACTGTAGCCTACACATGGACCAAGCTTGGATGCCCGACAACGGGCGAATAGACAAGCGGTGTGGTGTACGTGCACAGAGAATTTTATGCGGCTTTAATGAAATACAGGCCCTAACATCTGCAGGAAACAGGGTGTGCCTGGAAATCACTACGTTAAGCAAAATAAGCAGGTTCAGAAAGAAAACTACCACATTTCTCTCTCATATATAGAATCTAGATTTGCGTGTGTGTGTGTGTGTGTGTGTGTGTGTGTGTGTGTGTGTGTATAGGACAGGAAAGTAGAAAGGGCACTATGAGATGGAAGGAAGAGCGGGGGGGGGGAACAAGAGAGATTAAGGAATGCCATGTGAAGGCAGAAGAGAAGAGTATTTGGGGGAGAAAGGAAACTAGCAGCAGGGTTAGTCCTGATGGGCCTAGATGGTGAGCGAGAACAAAGTCTAATGATATACGTGTATGAAAGTCTCGTGAGAAACCCCCTTTCTCTGTGTGCTAATCAGGAGTAAATTTAATAATGTTTTGTTCAGTCTCACTCATAATTAAAGAAATGTAAATTGAGACACTCATAATTAAAGAAATGTAAATTGAGATAGCTTTTTTAAACCTATAAAATGAACAAATAAATGATACTGATAAAATAGCCTGTGAAAACTGGGCCTGATGGTTCACACCTCTAATCCCAGGTGACAAAAGAGGAGGAAAATGAGCTCCAGGCTAGCCTGGGCTACGTGGTGAGACTCTGTGGAAAGGCAGAGAGAGGAGCCAAAGCCCCCAAGGATATAGGAGACAGGGAGCCTCATACTTTATTGACAAGGGGTAAAACTGCAAAATCTCTTAGGAGAGCAATCCTGCAGTGTCTACCAAAACAGCAAATGCACGCAAGCTTCGGCCAGCCCCAAAGCAACCGGGGCTGTGAAACAAAGCAGCCACCTATATACAGGTTTCCGTCTTTCTTTCCTTCTTCCTTCCTTCCTTCCTTCCTTCCTTCCTTCCTTCCTTTAATATATACAGGTTTCTTACTTGAAACAGAACCCTCACCACGTTAAACATTTTCTAGTCTTAGACACATAAAACTACAGCTATGTAGTCTGTTACTTATTAAAAAATACTCCATTTAAAATTCATTTGGTGTGTGAGTGTGTGTGTGTGTGTGTGTGTGTGTGTGTGTGTGTGTGTAAGGAATTTACTGTGGCACATAAGTGAGAAAGGCTTGGGGACATGAAGAGAGGCCAGTTCATAAAGGGCTTATATGCCAGGTTAGGATTATAGATATAGTTACTGCTGAGAATAGACAGGGGCGCATTAACGGGAGCACTGGGGTGAAATAATCAAGCTCAAAAGGCAAACAAATATAATAAATATTTTTATATTAGTAACTATATGCAGCTAGTTAAAAAATGCTAAATAGTTTTGCAGGCGGCTGCAATCCCAGAGTGAATTGAAAGTACTAACCTTGACATTCCAAGCATAACGCTGAACTCAGCCAAAGGACAGCCCCCAGTTCAGAGCCCCCACCTCCCAGACACTCTCCCACCTGTTCTGAGTGTCCTGTCCATTGAACTTGGAGACATCTAGGAAATACACAGCTCTTTGGGAATGTTTTCCCCCAAAGTTCCTCTCTTCTTTGACCCCCAAATTCTGCAATAAGAATCCCCCACATCAGGAAAGGGTTATGAGCAGAAGCCAGCCAAAGACTGTACATGAAAGTGCCCTGGGCCAAGGGCCAGAGGTCTATTTTTAGGACATTTTCTCAACGCCTGTTTATCTTGCAGACCCAGCCTAATGCCTTCCAGGAGAGCGTTAAAAGTCATTGGGCTGGATGGAGGAGAGCAAGGTGCTCTAAGGACAAACGCCAGCAGTAAAGTGGTAAACTCTAGACACTGCTGCTTCCCCCCTTTTCCTAGGTGCTCCTGAAACGAATTAGTAATTTATTCCATCCCTTTCCAGCCACTCCCACAAGTTGTAGGAATGTGCTGTTTACAAAGGAAAGGTTGTTGATAAACTTTTGTTCCAAGTGCGAGTTCTGCTATGCTCCGTACCAGCTCTTCCTGCTGTAAAAGCAATACGGAATCTAACCTGACAACTGGAGAAGAGCGCGCCCGCCCGCTCCGGCAGTCCGGTCTCTTCCTCCTTTGTGCCTCTCTCCCCCCAGAGACAACGCAGTCATTAACCATAAAGTGTAGCCAACTGTTTTAATCCAGTCAAGCTGCAGGCGGGAAAGCGGCCCGCCTCGTGTCTCGATTTATATTTCCCTCGACGGACAAAATAGGTGGCCCCAGGAATTCCACGGCTTGTAAAACCCGCCACAGCAACGAGGGTTGGCTCGCGGGGACTTAACCCTTTTCACCCTGCAGCCTAGCCCGGCTTTTAAGGGCGTCCTTCCCGGCTCCCCTGTTCCGCCCTCCCAGTTCCTCCCCAGCGGTCAGACCCTTCTCTCCAGGTGGCTCTCCAGTTCCACGGTCCTCTCTGGAGCATCTGATTGACCAAGAGGAGGGTCTCTGAGGCGGACCCGGGGCACCTCGGCGGCAACTCGCAGGTCGTCCTTAAGGACCTCCGCCTGGCGCCAGTAAAGGCGGGTGTTTTGTTCTTATAAGGAGCAAAAAGTTTCCGTGACAACGCGGAAATGAGTAACTCTGCTGCCCAGTAGCTCTGGGCGGGAGGAGCCCAGGAGGCGGGAGCTGCCGCGGTCCAGTCGCCCGCATCCCCGGGTCCTCGCAGCCTGCAGACCCGGGACCCCGACCGGCGCGAGTGGAGCGAGGCCCACTCGGTACCCTGCGGCCGCCGCGGCTGAACGTAAGTGCGGGACTCCGACGAGAGGCTTCGCTGCCCGCCGAGCTCAGAGTGCGTGGGATGGAGGGCGCGCGGGGGACTGGGGACTCCCGCAGAGCCGCGCGGGCGACCGTGCCCAGGAGCGCGGGGTGCGGCGTGTGCGGGGGCCCTGGCCGGCAACGACCCCAGGAACTCCTTTACGCTCGCGTGAGAAGTGCGCATTGTCTCCCTCATCCCTGGGATGCACTGGGGTCCTCATCGCGGAGGCCCCTCGAGTGCCTCCTGCAATCTGGGAGGCAGGCAGCTTCTGCTCCGCGCCCCTTGGGCTTGGAGCCCATAGCCGGGCCACGTGTTTGCGCTTGGAGCCGGGACCTCCCTTCTCTTAAACAGAGTTGGGTAGTCTCAGTCCTGGGAGAAAGGAATGGAATGACGTTGGTTTCTTCGTAACTTGTCATGACGCAAGGAGGTTGCTTCAGGCCGGATGAAGCCCCTGCCACTTCCTCCTTCAGGACTCCTGGTGGAGTAGACCCTGCAGAACGTTCTCCTGGGCTGTAAATAGTCTCTGCCTGGATTCCTAACTCCTTCCTTGAGGCCCACTCTGAGCCTCCCTCATTCTGGCCGACAGGTAAAAGGACTCAGAAGCCCCTGGCCGATTCCCTGTACAAAATGGAAAAATATTGACCGAGCCAGGGAAGAACAGCATTTTAGCCTTTTACCCCTCTGCCTAGTAAGACAGTGGCCACCCTTTCCAAAGCAGAAGGAGCCAGGTACTGGCACCATGTAATTCAGTGTCCGGTGGCTTTCTGTTGCCTTTCGGATTTCTTCTCTTTTACAACCTAGTTCTGTTTTGGAGATGCTGCCAGCTAAAGCCATCACAGCCTGCGTGGCCACTGGTTCAGGTCAGCCGTGAAAAGGGTGGCAGAGGCCGCTGTCATTCGTCTCCTGCCTGCCTGCCTGCCAACCTGGTATGCCTAAGGCCCTTCGTTATTTGCTGATCCCTGTGAATCGCTGCTGCCCAGGGCATGCTGCCTTCAGATTTTCCGCTTGTGGGTGGTGTTACAGCCCCTCTCTGGATCCCAGGGGAAGATGGGAAAGCATTTGCTCACACACTGCCCTCTCCGCGGGTAATTTTCAGAGACGCGTCAGTTTCCAGTCTGACTTAAAGGAGGCAAGGGCCTGAACTTTTAACCTGATGCCAACATCCCAAAAGCTGTTAGCTCCCCGGTCCTTGAGAGAAACATAAAGAGTGTGTGGGTGAACTTTTTAATCAGAGGGCAAGAGGGTGCAGCAGCCTCTGGGAGATAATTGCTCACTGTCTACAAGAAACCTCCTTCTATAGGTTTCCCTTTTTGGCCCCTCTGAGGTTAGTGTAGGAAGGGATCCTGTTTGGTAAAAGCATGCTCTGTCTCCATGGAGACAGTGGTATGCACCTGGCATTCTGCAGCCCACAAGAGTAAGGCTGGGCCAGTGGAGTGCACTAGATACCACTTGTTGATGGACAACACTGGCAAACTAGAATTGTCCCGAGGAGAAGGGCAGAGACAATGTGGACAGTGGGGAAAGCGTATCTGGTGAGGAAGAAGGGCTACCGAATACGTGACCCACGGATGAGGAGCACAGGGCATGGCCGTCAGGTGCTCCAAGCATTGAAACTTGATAGAAGAAATGGCTTGTTCAGCCTGGCCTCGGAGTCCCTGGCTAGAACAGAGATAGGGCTCCACAGAGCACAGTCGTCAGAGGCCAAAAGGCATGTGCTGGCCATGAGTGTGAAGGGGTTGCGAAGGGAGTGGTGCCTTCTGGGTACATGCCTCTGTGTTTCTATGTTTGGGGGTGAGAGGTACCCCAATAAAGACCTGACGGTGCGGCAGCCTGGGGGGCTGTGGTAGAAAAGTATGCTAAGACAGGGCCAGGTTTTCCGAAAAATCAAAATGTGGTTCATGCCGGATGTTGGTCTATCTTGGATGCCCTCATCCAGTCTTAACAGAGCCGTGAGGAAGCTGAGAGCTGAGGGCAACCTCCAAGGCTACCACCGCCATTCCATCCTTTCTGTAAGGTAGACTATGACCCTCACTCTTAGCAAGAGGATGCTCTTCAGTGCCTTTAGGACCTCACAGCCAAGCCGCTGAGCATCCTTGTTGCTCCCCCAGCCTGGTTCTCTTGAATAATCTACTACTGAAAATCGCCCCAACAGTCAATTATTAAGAGTTTAACATGGACGGGAGGGCTAGCTCAGTGGTTAAGAGCACGGGCTACTCTTCCCGAGGTGCCAGGTTCAACTCCACAGCACCTGCACAGTGGCCCATTACCATCTAGCAACCCCAGTTCAGGGGAACAGACACCCTCTTCTGGCATCCAAGGGCATCAGGCAAGTGGCGCACAGACAAACATGCAAGCGAAAGGCCCATCTACGCAAAGAAAGTAAAAATTAAAAAGCGAAAAACAAAAGGATGGCAGACTCATCCAGCCGGGGAAAGAGGCAAGCCCGGCCTTGGTGGTTGAAGTGAGGCTTGGCCAAGCATCAAATGACCTTCTTGATCACAGAGTGCTGCGAGGCGGCAGATCCAGTTTGCATCCTGGAGTGACAGGGATGAGTAAGTGCCACCTGGGTGTGGTGCAGAGGGAAAAGGTGACAGCTACTTGCAGGGTGGAGTTTCCCATGGAGTTGAAGCAGATGAAAGAGATCACACATGCCGACTTACTCTTCCAAACCCTTCATCCCCTCTGTGTCCTCCTCCCAGCCCCATCAAATCCTATTTATCTGCACATACCATGGAGGAAACATGACTAACACTCCATGTCTCGGCTCCAGCTTGAAAGCTACTTAGCTCCTATACCTCGGGTCTCGGCACTTAAGTAATTGGGAGAACACTCCCAAGCATGGTCCATCTATGGTGAGTGTTCCAGCAGATTGCCTGTTTACCTGGGCACATCACATCACAGGCCTTGGCTCTTCATAGCTCTACCCACTAAGAAATCCTTGTGTGCATTTGAAGATGCCGCCAGGTAGGATTTCTCCCTCTACGTTTTCATAATGCAGCTTCTTTTTTTTTTCATTTTATTTATTTGTTTAGTGCTTTGCAAGCGTTAACTCTCAGTTACATATATTTGCATAAGGTAAACATTATACAATCTCAGGATTGCGGGGCTGTGTACTCTGCTTTATACAAATCAGTCGAATACTCAGGTGACCTGGGCGAGTCAATAGAAGCCTAGCACAGAACAAAGAAATGTGGTCTTTAGTTAGCACTTGGGCCCTGAGGAGTAGAAAAGTGCAGGTGGCCACTTAGAATCCCTGCTTAAGCCTGGAAGTGAGGCCTGCAACCACAGCCACTGCTTTGGCTGCCTCAGGCCACCCACCCTCCTCACCTGCCCCCCCATGTGTGTGTGTGTGTGTGTGTGTGTGTGTGTCTGTGTTCTCTATCTGGGGCCACACTGGGTTTATGACTAGTGAGCCGTATCACCAGGTGCCACCGAATCAAGATATGAACTGCATGGGCTTTGGCCTGGGTAGGCCAGGTTGAGTCCCTGTTCCACTGCTCTATAATTGGGTCAAAGGGTGAGCGGTGCCCTGTCCACTCCAAGTCTCAGTTTCATCTGTAAAACCATCTCAGGCATGTCTGACCCAGGCTACTGTGTGGCTAGTCCAAGCTTCCTCCCAGGCCATAGGCCTCCAGACTGTCCCACAGGGACAGAAGGAGAGCTTCCTTGTCTCACCAAGCTGAGGACAACGCTGAGCCACCATAGATAAGGGAAAGCCAGCTTCGAGACTGGCAGCAATGGGTGCCAGTCAGGAGAGCAGTGTGGGGAGGGTTCTAGAGGAAAAGGGGTCTCTTAAGAGTGTCCAAACGGCCATCTTCAATGGTGTATGACCCCTGGTATCTTCTCATAGAGAATATGTCCCCCCTATGCTCTTGTGCCTCACCCAGTGACATCACTGGAATGGAAGCACCTCAGATAGCATCACTGTTGCCCAGGCAACACACCCCCCTTTTAGCCAGACAGGAAGGACGCAAAGCAGCCTCAACTGTAAGACGCTTGTCACAAGACCGGGACCTAGAAGATGTAGTTCCCACAGGTATGTTTCTCGGGGGTGGGCCATGAGTGGAGCCGAGTTTGTGCTCTGGACTGTGAGCTAGTTGGTGGAGGGTCTTGAGGCCTTAGGTAAAGGGGAAGGTACAGTGCTGACTGCTCCGTTTTTGTTTTTGTTTTGTTTTGTTTTGTTTTGTTTTCTCTGAGCCAGACCGACTCCATACATGAGCTTCTGCTCCTGTAGCCTGAACCTCCTGAACCTCCAAGGAGGGGGTGTGGAGCAGAGAATCCAGTGCAGTGGAATAGCACCAGAAACTGGTTTTTTGGTGTCCTTATTATGACAAGGGTTCCTCACTGATCAAGCAAATACAAAAAGCATGGCACTGTGTTGAGGACTTAGTAGCTTCAGGGAGCTTTATAACCAAGGCAGGGAGGGAAAGGAATGTGTGGAAGCGGAAGCACCCTCTGAGAGGTAGGCAGTTACTTCTCACCAGCGCTCACGGCCCTGTGGGATTCCACACGTGGGAAATTAATCCTGTGGAGTCCTTTTATCTTTGGGAGCTTGTCCTGGAAGGTAGGGGTATTTTTCGAGATACTTGGCAGTTCAAGAGTGGCGGTAGAGACAGCAGCCATAGTTGCCTACTGTGTACCATCAAAGGGACACTCTGAGGACAGTGTTGTGCACCCGGCTGAACTCACGGCAATTCTGACGCTCTTAATTGCTCGCCTGTGGCTTCAGCCTCATCATCTAAGGTGATGCCTGCTGCTGCTGTCCTTCAGACAGAATTCCTAAGCAAAGGCTGCTACGAGCCAATGCTACCAATGAAAGATGCAGGCACAGGAGACTGCCCTCCCAGGGAGACGTGGAAGAAAACTAGATGGCATGTCAGGTCTGTCTCTGTAGAGTTTCAGAACCCAAGGCCTTTCAGCTTCAAAGGACCTGATTCAAGTCTGTTTGGTGCCACTAGACATAACTTCATGGGCTTCCCTGTTGACCAACAGGTCAGGGGCTAAAGTAATAGCTCCCTTTTTTATATGAACATAGCCTTTTTTAGGTTTCTAAGTGAAAATTAAAATACCGTTAGCTAGGTAGATAATTTGCAAGCTCATGCTTCTACTTGGAAAACTGGTCCCCCCAAAAAGCTACCTGTCAAGACCTTTTATTCCTACAAACAGAATGATCTTTATAGAAAAACACTGAACGCCTGCTCCCAGCAAAGCCTGCCCATGTCCCTTTACATACATCTGTTTCTCTTGCTCTTAACAGCCCCTCAAGGTGTGTGCAATTTTCTAGATAAAGGAACAAGCTCAGACTTGTTCCGTGTCCCTGAGACACCACTCCAATTTAGATCTGCTGTCCCCCAGGCCTTTCTTTCTGCCACCTCAGGCATCTCTGCCTGGACTCCACAGCCTGGAGACCAAGAACGTAGCATATGGAATCCCACAGCTTGCCTGTCTAAAGTGAGAAGCTGGCAGGCAGATCACCAGTTCCCAGCCTGAGCCTTGCATCCCTCTCTACGCTGTGATGTTAGCAGTGGGGACTGTTTTCTTGTCTGTTCAGTGATGATGGTAACACCTACCACGCAACGTGTACTACGCACTGAGATGCTCCCATGGGAGTGACCAAGGGACTCGCTTCCTGTGGATGAGCACTCACGGCTTACCCAGGAGCAGAAGCACTACTGCTAAGCTGCCCTGAGCTGCCACTGTGGGTACCCAAAGGGGATGCAGAAGAGTGCCCACCAGCAGCATCCAGCCTGGAGCGATGCTGTCATCATCTTGGCCCTGCCTTTTGAGAGACCCATGAGCTCATAGCACAGTTCCCATGGGAGCCTGTTTCAATAGCTGCCTTCTGGAGAGGCAGGCAGGGGAGTTACCTCAAGTTCATGAACAGGTCCTTTATTCTGAATCTCTGAGGAGACAGGACAGCACCCCAGGCTGGCAGGGAGGAGGCAGAGGATACCAGGTCCCACTCCTGCATTCTTCCCCCAGTACCCAAGTTTATCCATCCTTATTCTTTCCTTTTGCTTTACCCCAACACATACAACCCTCCCACCCCCTGTCAGAAGAGCCCCATTCCTCTTCCTAATTGGCTGTGAAGAGGCTTGCCTAGGTCACATGTTCTCTCTCAGAAGCTGCTTCATGAGTTCATTCAGTTTCTCTTAGTATCCGTATATAAAAGTTAAGAGTTCAGAAGCACATGCCTAATGTTCCACAGATGTGTCATGAGCAGTATAGCATCATGGGACACTTTCATCCCACCTCTGGTTTGTTGGTGAGTGGCCTCACTCCTCTGTGCCTCAGTTTCCTTATCTGCAGATGGATATGAGTGCCTGGTTCAGAGATTTAACATGAGAGGCGAGACACGTGAAGCACATGGCACACAGCTTAAGCATCAAATGTTATGTATTGGTTACAATTTACTGAACCCGCTGAGCCTGTGTCAACGCCAGCGGCTTGTCCAGTTTTCTCCAGAAAAGATGGTCACTCTGCCTTACCGAAATTTTATCTAACTCTATAATCTCTATCTTTCATCTCTATGAGTCTTTCTTGAAAGAAGTGAGGTAGCGAGGCTCTTATAAAACTTTCTGCAGACCTCATTCATGGTTCTTTGTAAACACTGGCATGAAGTTAAGGCCTGCCAAGATAAAAAAGAACTACAGTTGTTTCCAGGGCTACGTCTGCCAGGGGTTTGACTCATGTTTGCTGGTACTTGGTGCAAATCACTGTTAGCTTTGTTTTTCTGAGTGTAGGGTCCCTCCCAGAAAGACTGTCTAGGTATGAATTCAACCAGGACTCCACACTCCAAGTATTTCACACGTCTGCTCCTGGGACTAAGACTCCATTCTTCCCTTTATTTATTCATTTATTCAGGAAGCAGTCATAGCACAGCTGCCTCTGTGTGGCTCAGAAACTGTTTAGAGAGCCATGGTGGTGCTGCTGGCCCGAGGGAATGAGGGAAAATGCTGCTAAGGCTCCTAGGACTTTGTCCTCCCTGTGAACTTAGAAGAAAATGAGGAGGATTTAATGTAGCGTCTACAGGGTTCTGAAGAATCTGCAGGAGTGTCACTCACTGTCTTCTTCCCAGAGGAACAGTACAAATGCCAACAGCAAGGCCACTTCCAAAGTGCAGCACCAAATGTGACTGGGCAATACCTCACCAGTGGGCTGGATGTAAGCCATGGACTAGGTGATGGTGTCATAGCTCATGGCAGAGCCAGGACCTCAACCAGTCCTGACGCTTTGGCCCCTTTACTGTATGTACTCTGGGCTTCTGCGAACTGTTAAAACGCTCCCTAGCCGAAGAGCTTTGGACTGTTTCTAGGTGGCCTTGGTCAGGGGCAAAAGTTTGTGCAGGTGACACCATCCTTGGAGCGAGGAGAATTGGTTAGCTCTGACCAACAGGTGTGGGAGGGCAGGCAGCCAGGCATTCTGTTCCAACACAGGAACCTGAGGTTCAGCACAGGCAACAAAGCTGACTACAGCTCTTAGGCTTTTTTTTTTTTTCTTTTACAGCTGGCCTCTCTCTCCTCCTCGTTCCTCTTTAAGAAGATGAAAGGGATTTGAGGTTTTTACAGGCATAGACTGTGTGTGTGTGTGTGTGTGTGCAGAGACCTTCCTTTCTCTCCACCCACCCTCTCCTGACTCTCCTTTCTCCTCCCTGGCCAGTTGGGGTCCAGGTACTGCCTCAGCCTAAGGAGAGTGGGCTGGGGAGGCCTCCAGGAGGGGAACTGGCCTTTCTTTGGCTGCAGAAAGTGGGGGTGTGCCTTAGAGGTGCTGGAGAATTCAGACAGGCTGTCTTCTGAGCTGACTTTTGTTCCCATGCAAGGATCAAAAAGAAAGTGGCTGCTGGGCCCTGACAGTTCCTTTAATTCCACCCATCCCCAGCTCCTCTGGAAGGGGAGAGGCCTGGGATGGCTTTGTTTTCCTTTGTGTTTACTCCTCCATTCAGCTCAAGCCTCCTCATTCTTTCTTTGCCTCCAGCAGCCAACCCTGGTCCCCTTGGGGATCCTGCTTCCACCCTGCAGCTGGCTCTGCCTGCTCCACCAAGTAGGGAGGCAGTGTGTGTACAAAACTCAAGGTGGACAAGCAGGAAGGGTGCAAGTGGGAGCCTGCCCTCATGTCCCCTCCCATTTTGAATCTTGAAAGCAAGAGGGAAGTGGGGTGTGCGAGCACTTGTGCATGTGTACAAGATTCTACTTGGAGTACAAGTCTGGGAAATGGTTAACAGGCTGCCCGTTCCTTTGAGTCACACTGCCTGTTTCAGCTTTTTAGAAATTTGAGTAGGAATTCCAGGGACGTAGGGAGACACCCCCCACCCCCCCCCACCCCCCCCCCTACCCCATCTGCCGCCCCCCCCCCGCGCCACCCACCCTCCACCCCACCTCAGCCAGTGTACGCCCTGGGAAACTGGTGGAGGGAATCATCAGTGAGGGAGGATACCAGAATCTGCGAGGGCTTGCTTTGGAATGTGGCATCCCCAGTGTAAGCTCTGAGTCTTTGGCACGATGAGCAGGTACATGTCTAGTACTTTGGGGACTGAGAAGGCAAAGAAGACATCCCCTCCTCTGGCCCTGGCCCTGTCAGTAAGAAATGCAGCTAACTGATGAGGCCAGAGGGCTGTGCATGGAAGGTATGGGCCTGGAGCTGAATGACCTCAGACTGTTCAAAGTCAGTCAGGGCCTTGGGCTCCTGCCTGTGAGGTGAGGTTGATGACACCCTCCCTAGTGCTGCATCTCGGGATATAACACTAAGGAGAGAGGCCCAGGGAACCCGCACCTGGGTGTGCCTGCTGCATGTCAGACGCACAAATCTAGGCCTCACCTACAAAGGCACCAGACATTCAGAGCCTTAGTAAACATGTCTAACTCCCTTCCCTTTCAGGAAGAGACTTGCCTCCAGAGTTGGAGAAACCTGGAAGGCGCCTTGACATGGTTTGTGGCAGGAGCTTACAAAGAAGACATTTTAGCTTACAGAAGTGGAGGCACAGAGGGAGGGAGGGAGGAGATGCGCCAGGAATGATCTGAAATGTCTAGGTAAGGCAAAGAGGGAAGCAAGGGGTCTCTGAGGTGGAGGCCAGGCACTGGACATTAGACCTAAAGCTCTGATCTTGTTGCCTGGAAAGAGGACTACATTGAAGTGGAAGGGCTGGGGGTAGCACGTTAGGGTTGAGTAGAAAAACAGGATACTGAGGAGAGGTCAGAGGACCTCACCCCAAAGTTTATTCTGCCTCCCATGTCATTGGTGTGAAACAAAGGTTGGAGCAGACACAAGGCTTGGGAGTTGTTTGCTGGGAGAGAGGCAGCTGCTTTCTCGTGGAGACTGCACCAGTCTCCTGAGGAGGCTGTGACAGGGTATTCTCGGAGCTGCTGTGTTCCTTCTTTCTTCCAGCTCAGATGTCCCTACATTGATACAGCATCCCCCGTGTAGATCTGTCTTCCGTTGCTTAGTCCTCCGTCCTTTCTGTCTCTTGCAGGGACTTAAGCCCATGTGGTTCCAGGGTCTCATCTCAAGCTCCTTCGTCTAGAGACATCTCCAAAGTCCCTGTGTCCAAATAAGCTCACTTCAGCGTCTGGCAGAATCACATCTTCTTGAAGGCTGCCGTTCAATCCACTCAGTGACTGCTGGATTCCAGGTGCTGTAAAGGGAATAAATGAGGAAAGGGGGTGTGGCCAGGGCTCAGGGCTGTAGTCCCCCCCTCCTGCTCCCACCCTTCCCACCCTAGCGGTGTGAATTCCTAAGACATCAAGTTACCAGTGATGCCCTGTGCACCAGGTCCTCAGCTGTGAGGCAGAGGTGTGGACAGAGGGACACCTTGTAATTCCTGGGAGACTGATGATTTTCCCGCCACACTAAGCATGGGCACACCAAGTAGCAGAGCAGGAAGGATGTAACCCTCCTGCCAGGGTCAGCAGCATCCAGGCCCCTGTCCTTCCTGTCCCTTGACTGCCCTGGCCATTCTCATGACTCCATTCCAGACAAGAGGATCGGCATCCTGGTGACTTCCTTGAAGCCCCTCCTTCTAAGAGTGCTTTTAATGATGTGAGCTTGTATCTACTTTGGGTCCAGCCATCATCCGCATGTGGACAACACAGCTTACCTCATCAAAAGGGGTAACTTCCCACCCGGTGGGCACTTATCACTGGCTCATTGGTGGCCTGCTCGGTCAGTCTGGGTCTCCTCTGACTTTGGTGGAGGGATGTCTTCCACTTTGGGGGACCACAGGCCTTAGCACCATGCTGTCCTTAATATACTCTTTAGACTCCACACTCAGTTTCTGGAGAAGCTATGGGAAAGAGAGCAAACATTCCTAGCACCTATAGAAAGCCCCCAGCACAGGCCTGGGATACTGTTATCCCTCAAATGTTGTCAAAATGGTTCATTCAAATGGCAGTGTCCCAGCTACTCAACCCTCCACAGCAGCCTGGCTGATTTTTCCCTGGTGTCATCACCTATCTCCCACTTCTTCCTGACAATCTTGGCTTCGCAACCACTGTTGCAGAGAGAACAACAAGAAGAGAAGAGCAAGACCTAGGTGGGAGAGGTAGATGGTAGTGGAGGCCAGGGCTACAAGGAGTCTGGGTAAATGAGGTGGGTAGGGTGAACCACACCCTTTCTGCCTACTTTCTCAATTATTCTTATTGGTCTTCTTCCTTCCTCTTTCCTTACTTCCTTTCTTTGTTTGGCCCTCCCCTCCTTTGAGGACCAAAGCCCTGCCATGGCCCAGCCCCCAACAAAGATGTCTCCCCTGTGCCCGTATGGGTACAGGTGAAGAGCAGTCCAGCCAGAGATGCCACAGCAGCACCCTGCATCTCCCCTGCACCTTGCTTAGACGAGGACTGCCTCTATCAGGCCTTTCTCCCCTCTTGTGTTCTAAAACGGTGGTGGGTGCTCTCTTAGCAGGCAGTGCACACTGAGCTGAGGTGACTGGGCCCCAGTGCTGGGTCCTGAGTTAGCCAATAGTGGAGTGGGCAGGGGCAGGTGACTGCCACACTTATGTCTGCCCTGGGCAGCACGTGCTAAGTCAGATCCCCATGCCAAGCTGGAGCTGTGTGTGTCTAGGCCATGCAGGGGGACTTGGAACTTGCAGAAGGACACTCTGTTTGCTCTGCGGGACCTGTAGGTGAGAAAGCAGAACCAGTGACTAAGCTGCCATAGGGGAGGGCAGGGCAGTGGTTCAAGCTCGCAGCCAGGGCACTCAGAGGGGAAGATAGACCTGCCCCTAGGGGAAGCTAGTCTCACACCAGCTAGTCTCCACTCCCCTGAATAAAGTGTGGCACTCGAGATACAGAAAGAGAGCTGGGATACAGGAGGGAGTCTCCACAGGGCTCAGGCTGCCCCAGCCTTGGATTCTCCAGGGTTTAGGAAGCCCAAGACACAGTCATCTTGATAATAAGGCCAGTTGCTGCTGACATTGGTGGCCAGGAGGTGCCCCAGGCAGCAGGAGGCAATGGACCCACTCACTCAGTTCCCCCTGACTTCCTGAGGAGTGATGAGAGAGCAGAGGAAGGGGCAGGCTCAGCTGGGCGTTGCTCACTTCAGCGTGCCGCAGACCATCTGTGACCATCGGCCCCTTCTGTAAGATGGTAATGTTACGGCCGCCAAGCTCGGGTTCTAAAAATTAAACAAGCACACAAGGGGCGTGCGCCTGGCATGGAACCACATGTACAGAGTGCTTAACATCACGCCTGGCACAAAGTAGATCTTCATAGTGAGAACATCCTTTGCTTTTCTTCTGCGCAGAAATTCCTATCAGAGGTCTTCTGGGAGGACCCACGGACGATGCCCATTCTGCCTCCACCCCCTCTGTATCACCCTCCAGGTCCCCTCTTTATGCCTCAGTCTGCAGATCTGTACGATGGGGCTTAGATGAGTGTACTTCTAAATTCTGACCCTCTCCAATTGGCTTTATTTCCCCCACACACCTGTGAACCTCAATAGCTGGAGTTGAAAACCCAAACACAGGCCAGGTGCACCGTAGCGTTCAGCACAGTCAGAATAGTCTGGGTCTTCTTGACTCCTTTCTTAAAGGGTCTAGCGCCTAGACAGTGGGGGAAAACTAAGTTCTCTCTCTGTTTGTCTCCCTGTGTCTCTGTCTCTCTTTCAAGCACACACAGAGTCTACCACCATCCACCTCCTTCGTTCCATTTCAGTAAGAAAGCCATCAGAGGTTCCTCTTTCGGACTCCTTCTCCAGCACTGTAGCTACTGTGGTAATTAATTAGCAGAGCTAATTACATCTGACAGGCTGGGCCAGGCAGGAGACCTTGGCAAGCTTTAGAATCCAGCTGTGCCACTGCAGGAGCCCCACCTTCCTTCTCGGAGGGTATCTGGCTTAGGAACCTGGCTTTAGAATGGGTGCTCCTCTGACTTGGGCAGTAGGGAGCCCAAAAACCACCAGGGGAGCTTGTGAAAAGCACCACAGTGCTAGGCCCTACTCTGTCATTTCTGCTCAGCAGGCAGCTTAAGATGTCACTGAAAATGCATCTGTCCAGCAAGTTCCCAGGTGGGTGCTACATCTGGGAGCCTCAGAGAGTCACAGCCCCACTGGGAGGTACTAAGTCACTGAGAAATGGCCTGAGAGGCTTCAGTGGCCAAGATTGGTATCGTCCATCCAACCCTGGATGGCCATAGGCTGGTGACAGGGCAGAAGGAGGAAAAGGGCACAGGCTTGTTGGAGAATTCTCTGGAAAGAGAGAAGGGCTTAAAGATGGAGCCAGGTGCTTGACACCCCCACCAGTGGGTGGGGCCGGGAGAACCTTCAAAGGACTTGAATAAAGTCTCTGTTTTCATAGCTCTAGGTCACTGGCCTCTGGAGCCCCTGTGAAGTGCTTTGTGGCTGTCAGCCTGTAAGGCTGTCTGTAAGGCTTCCTGTCAAGGGTCGAGCTGTGCTCATCATTGGGGATCCCGAAAGGTCCAGCTCTCTCCCAGCACCAGGTTCTTTGTTGCAGCAATGTGGGAAAGTCTGGGCTTTGCATGTAAAGGCACGTGGAGCAGCTGGAACGCCAGCTAGCTCCATCCTCTGTAGCCACATGGCTAGAAAGTCCTTTCAGCTTTTTGATTAACCCATCTGTGAGGCAGGGATCATAGCCATCTCTTGGAAAGCTACCACAGCCACTGTGGACAGCGCTGAGTGCATCCTAGTGAGGGCTCAACAGACAGGAGCTGTGGGCAATAAACTCTTAGTGGTGTTTGTTCTCCAAAGCTTTTGTGAGGAACGCTCTGGGGTGCAGGAGTAAAGGACCCCAGTAAACAGCCACCTCACATTTCTCCTCTAGGGTCTTAGGCTCTTGCTAGCCCTACAGGAAGAGTACCTGTCCTGGCCACCACATTCACCCAGACACACAGAGGTCACCATCTTTCCCCAGCCTCTGTACCCCAAGACCTGGCTTTTTGCCAGGCTAAGTTTAGCTGTTTGAGCCACCCTCTCTGTGGGTGAGGCTGGGGTGGAGAGGAATTCAGCGGGCTTCCTGTCTGCTTCCTGGCAAGCAGGCGAAAGCCCGCCAGATGACCCAGGTTTATTCCCAAAGCCAAGGCTGCCAACAGATGTCACAAACCACAGGTGTGGGACAGCCTCAGACAGAGCTGACAGCTTGGGGACCAGCAGAGGCAGACATCCTTGGAATGGGGGAAAGGTCCCCTTTGGGGAAGGGTGTGTGCACATGTGAGGATGTGTACAGATGCATGTAGTTTTGGTTTACAAGAGTTTAACATCACAGCACAAGGTCCTAGGCCCTTCAGGTCAGTGGTCCCTATTAACTGGTTTGGGAGGCAGAAGAGCAGACGCTTCAACCCCAGCTCTGTGGTAGGCACGGAGTGGCTAAAACCCATTCGGTATCTTGGCCCGGCCCTCCTACCTTATCCTCAGGGTTCTACAGCCCAGACAGAGGTTAGCAGGGGACGAGATGACAACTGGGTTAAGATCGCTGGGAAGGAGGTGATGGTTGAGTGGGGTTAGGGGGGTGGAGGGGTTGAGTCAGCAGGGGGCCTCCTATGCAGAGGAAGGTCCAGGCTCTAAAGGATTCCCCTCATTTGCTTGTGGGGCAGAGTGGAAGGAGCACCGTGCCAAGAAACAGCAATAACCGTGGAGCGTTTTCTGCTTCCAAAGCACTTCTCAGCATGGCTCCTCCACACCCTGAGACCTGGGTGGGGCTGCTGTGCTTGCCCGGTGAGAGTCCTCACCTATGAGGCCAAGGGGAACAAAGATGAGTGCTTGTGCCTGCTCTGCGCCTGGGCGCTGTCCGGAGCACCCAGGCGCCCTGGGCCTCAGCACCCTTGTAAAGGAGGGGCAGTTCTGACCTTCCCCCAGATGAGGATAGGAGCGCTGGACCAGGAGATGAGAGTCCGCCTGAGATCATAACACCAGAGGTAGAGCCAAAGCTCAAGGCCAGGCCCGCTGGATGTCCAAAGCTGGATGCATTGTGTTTGTGCTGTTGGCCTTGTGCTTCTGACAAGGTTCATCTGTAACCCCCATGGGTGCTGCTGTGTCCTTCCAGAGTCCCCTGCAGTGGGGACATCCGTTATTCTCACTCTATCACAGCTACTCTTTGACACAGCAGTTACACAGTGGCAGAAAGGCTCGTGGGTGGGGGTCGTCTTATTCAGACTTTACAAGAACAGATCTGTCTCCCCTTTGACAGGGGCAGGGAGGACACTGAAAGAGCAGAGGGATTGTCTAAGGTGCCTAGGCTTTTCCTCGCCTCGTTCGCCTCCTCCAAGCGCTGTTAATTCCTTGTCTTTGAGTTCTGAACAAGGAGACTCCTGGAGTCCCGCATCCTCCAGTGGCATGAGGCTCTGCTCCGCTGGCATAGCTGAAGCTGGTGTATGAAGGGGAAGAGAACTCTCCACTCTGGGGATTAGCGTTGCCCCCCCCACACACAGATACACACACACACATACACACACAGACACACACACAGACACACACACAGATATACACACACACACACACACACACACACACACACACACACACACACACTGGTGGCATGTTCTCCCTCCTCAGTTGATGTGGAAACTGACTTCCTCCCATCATGGCAGTTGCTATGGGTGCAGCTGTGCCCAGAGGCAGCCGCCTGGAAAGACCTTGGAGCCTCCTATGGTCAGCTGGCTAGCTGGCTGCCACCTGGTGTTCTGCTGCCTGTACTTCATTTAAAGCCCTGATCCATGCTCATCAAACAGCCTCGGTTCTGCCCTTGGGCCGCCCTGGTGGATCACCCTTTGCTGTCTCTGTGTTGTGGAAACCATGGCTGCTCTGTCTCTGCAATTATCCAGCGTGCTTTTCCCAGCTCCCCGAAGTGGGAGGATGGCTGGCTGCCTTTGGACTTTTCCCCCATCCTATCTCTTCCAGTCTGACGTCCTGCCCTCTCTCTTGTCCCTCCCTTCTTCTCTGTAGAAACCTGTGGGCTCTTGAGGGCTGCGCCTGGACTTGTCTCCTCCTTCCCTGGGGCTGGCTCTCCAGCCGCAGCCCCTCCGGATCCTGCTGACTAGTGCACTGTGTATATGGGGTGGAGCTGTCTGAGTCACCTTTGAACAGCAGCTTGCCCTGGCCAGCAGCAAAAACAGGCCAAGAGTGTACATCTTCTCTTTGCTAGAGAATCCTCACCTGCTGATGAACCCTGCCCTCCTGTACCATGAGGGTAAGAACTGACTCATGCAAACTGAAGTTCAGGGGACTCAAGGCAAACAGCCCAGGAATTTCTGTCCACCAGTGTTGGCTTGCCCCAGGAGGCTGACAGGTGAAGCCCTGTGGGTTCTTCACTTTGTTGTCCAACAACTCAAGATCTTTGCTCTCTTTGCAGAAGGTCACTAAAAGGAAAGGGACAGGGCAGGTAGGGAAAGAGGTAGATGGTTAATTCCCAAGTCTCCTGCTGGAAGGAGAGAGTACAAGGTAGGTACAGAGATGCCCCTTATCCTAGACCTCATGTAGTGCCTGAGTGCTAGTGGCTATGTGTTCTCTGTCTTACCACACACACACACACACACACACACACACACACACACACACAACACACGCACAGAGAGAGAAGGAGAGAACTAAGGCCTTTCCCTTTCCCCCCGCTCACCACCTATTGCAGCTATAATTTCTGTAGTTTGAGGTGCACCAACAAAACTCACAAGAATTTCTTTTCCTTCATCACAATTTTGGATAGGAAACCTTGAAATATGATTGTCTTTCTTTTCTTGAGAATGTCTGTCTTTTCACATAAAAGAAGTGCTTGTCTGCTTCTCATCAGCATATCCAAACCACCAGAATCATTGCTTTTGCACTTTTGGGGCCATAAAGTCAAATAAGAATTACTTGACCATTAAGTGCTGTGATGTCATGGCAGTCAACCTGATGGCCAAGGTGGCTAACTAGTTACTAATGAGTGAGTAGTGTGTACTGGGGAGATATGCTGGACAGATGTGTGGCTCGTATTCCAGGCAAGAAAGAGTAGAGCAGCATGATTTCAACACATTGCTCAGAATGTAGCTTAAAATTTACAGTTAACTCTAAGCAACTGAAACTTGGGAAAATGAAATTACAGGTGGCATTGATGAGTCTACCGTACCCATAACACAGCCCTTCCCACACTTTTTTTTTTAAATAAATGGAAGTAGGTATTTTGTCTGAATGTATATCCATACCACAAGCATGCAGTGCTCAAGGAAAACAGAGGAGGGCATCAGGTCCCCCTGGAACAGGAGCTACAGACAGTTGGGGGCTACCATGTGGGTGCTGGGAATCAGACATTGGCCCTTGAAAAAAGTAACCAATGCTCTTAACCACTGAGCCATCTCTCCAACCCCATCTGGATGATTTTAAAGTACAGATTATGATTGAGGCCAAGAGTGGGGCTGCGATTCTGCATTTATTTGTTTGTTTCTCTCTCTCTCTCTCTCTCTCTCTCTCTCTCTCTGTGTGTGTGTGTGTGTGTGTGTGTGTGTGTGTGTCTGTCTGTCTGTCTGTCTGTCTGTCTGTGCATGTCTATATGTCTATGCATCAGTTTCCCTGGAGCTGGAGTACAGGTGGTTGTGAGCTGAGTGACATAGATCCTAGGAACCAAACACTGGTTCTCTGCAAGAGTGGCAAGTGTGCTTACTGGCTAAGCCCTCACTTAGGCCCCCTGTCTTTGTTTGTTTGTTTGTTCGTTCGTTCGTTTGGTTGTGTTTTGGTGGCCTCCCTGTGTGGCTTAGGCTAACCTTGAATCCATGGCAGTCCGCCTGACTCTGTGTCCTAAGTGTGTCAGCCCCACGCTCAGCTTCATTCCCGGTTTCTGACAAGATCCCAGGAGAGGCTTCCACCAGTGCACCAACTGCAAGATGTAAGAGTGTAGCCATTCTCCCCGAGACTACTTAAGTCCTAAAAACCCATTTGTCTTAGAGAAACTGCTACGAGGTCAGACTCAGAGATCAAGCGCTTTGATAGGAGAAGAGAGAGGTATCGGATCCTTGTCCCTGTGGGGGTATGATTACCTTCTGTTCTTAAACCAAGAAGCCTAGACTCAGAGAGGTGAATGAACGTATCCAGCACCGCAGCTATTCAATGGCAGGACTAGCTTTGGAACACGTCAGTCTTAACAAGAAGGTTTTACTGCAGGAAGACACACCCACTAAACAAAATCCAGTGGAGGCAGAGGCAGCATGTGAGGCCTCATAGTTCTGGTGGCTGAAGAACAGCTCAACTTAGCTTAAAGAGAAAGGACGTCTCTATCAACCTGTCTGATAGCAAAAACCTAGCCGTAAAGGTTTCATACACAGCTGGACACAGGGGTGTGCTTTACTCTGGGCTGGCGGCAGGTTCCCCTTGGTAGTGGCTAACAGGCAGCCCAGGCTGTGCATGTAATCCTGTTATCAGACAACCCTAGCAACGAGGAAAGCCTTCATTTCCCATTGGCTCACGTTACTCATCACAGAACCAGTCACCGTGGGTAGAGCTGTGGCTGTGTGGAATCGTCTTGTTGTCATGGGTTTGGCCTCAATGCGCACCTCTGGATTTGAGCTGTGGGTTCATATCTACCCCAGCCAGAGGGCTAGGAGGGTAGAAGGTTGGCCTTCGGGGTCAAGAGTGTGCTGGCTCCATCACGATAAATGCTCTAGCAGGTAGAAGGAAATGTCTGTGGTGTGGGTAAGCCTTACACTCTTCTCAGAGGCTGGAGCACCGGAGATGATCATTAGAGGCAGCTGGGGGTTGGTCATGAGACCCAGGGCCATCACCAACTCTTGGGGAAGGAGGCTGGTACAAGGCTCCGGGGCAAAGGGTCCTTGAAGGAGCCTTATGTGTGACCCGAAGTGTCTTTCTCTGTTCCCAGGAACTCTACAGCCATGGCCATGGGACTTTTCCGGGTCTGTCTGGTGGTGGTGACGGCCATCATTAACCACCCCCTGCTGTTCCCACGTGAGAATGCCACCGTTCCCGAGAACGAGGAAGAGATCATCCGCAAGATGCAAGAGCACCAGGAGAAGCTGCAGCTGGAGCAGCTGCGCCTGGAGGAGGAGGTGTCACGGCTGGTGGCCGAGAAGGAGGCCCTGCAGCAGTCAGAGGATGACGACGGCCAGCAGCCGCCGGAGGCCCACACTGCCTGGGACCTCTGGAGCACTCTCTGCATGATTCTCTTCCTGATCATCGAGATATGGCGGCAGGACCTCCAGGACAGGCCCTTTCCAGAGTGCCTGGGCGGGGATGAGGACGACCTGTCTGGAACTCCGCTGCGGGGCCTTCCCCTGCCCGATAAGGCCACCCTGGACCACTTCTATGAACACTGTATTCGAAGTGCCACGGGGGATGCCACCCGCACCCGGGAGTTTGTGGAAGGCTTCGTGGATGACCTGCTGGAGGCCCTGAGGAGCATCTGCAACCGCGACACAGACATGGAAATGGAGGACTTCATTGGCGTGGACAGCATGTATGAGAACTGGCAAGCGGAGAGGCCCCTGCTGTGCCGCCTGTTCGTCCCCTTCATTCCCCCGGAGCCCTACAGCTTCCACCCAGAGCTCTGGTGCTCCAGCCTTTCTGTACCCCTGGGTCGCCAGGGCTACGGCCAAATCAAGGTGACCCTGGCAGATGGAGACCCTCTAGGCTGTATCTGCGGCAAAACCAAGCTTGGGGAAGATATGCTGTGCCTCCTCCACGGCAAGAACAGAGCGGTGCGGCCCAGCAGCGGGGGAGGCAGTGAAATGGAGGACTTGCTGTGTTCCAGGGAGTCCTCATATCTGGACACCATGCAGGTCATGAAGTGGTTCCAGGTGGCGCTCACCAGGGCCTGGCATCACATTGCCCACAAATATGAGTTTGACCTTGCCTTTGACCAGCTGGACACTCCAGGCTGTCTCAAGATCAAGTTCCGCTCAGGGAAGGCCATGCCCTTCACCTTGACTCCTGTGATCCAGTGTAACGACTCGGATCTGTACTTCGTCCTGCGGCCTCCCAAGGAGCCCTGTGGGGGAACTCCAGCCACCAGCACTGACTGGCCCCTGTCCTTTGCTGTCTATGAGAGACAGTTCCTCCGGATGACGGCAAAGGCTTTGCCCGAGGGTGCCTGTCACCTCAGCTGTTTGCAGATCGCCTGCTTCTTGCTATCCAAGCAGAGCCGCCTGACAGGCCCCAGCGAGCTGAGCAACTACCACCTAAAGACGGCCCTGCTGCATCTCCTGCTGTCCCGGCGGGCTGCTGACTGGAAGGCCAGCCAGCTGCAGCTGCGCCTGCAGGAGCTCTTCTGCTTCCTGGAGAGGAGCCTCCTGGAGAAGAAGCTCCATCACTTCTTTGTGGGCAACCGTAAGGTGCCCGAGGCCATGGGACTCCCTGGGGTCGTGCGCACAGCCGAGCCACTCAACCTCTTCCGGCCCTTCGTTCTGCAGAGGACTCTTTACCATAGCACAGTGGACTTCTTCTACGAAATGCTTAAGAATGCCCCGACGTTCATTCGAGAGTATTCCCTCCATGTCCCCTCAAACCATGCCAGCCCACCACCAAAAGCTGTTGCCCTGTAGAGCATGAGATTTGAGGGCCTTGAGGGAGAGCATCCCATGTACCTACCTTCCTGGGCTCTGTGACCCCGTACAGGAAACACAGTAGGCCTGGAGGGAGCTGAGGTTCAGCTTGTGGGGGAGCCAAGTCCTGGAGAGTGAAGGAAACAGAATCACAACTGGACACTGGTTTGTCTTTCTGCCACAGGGGCTTGCTGGTAAAACCACTGTTTGGGTTTGGGCACTGACCCTTTGCAGCTAGCTCTAGATCTCACCGCGAATGACCAAGGCAGTGACCTCACAGTGTCTGGGTGCTGAGTTAGAGAGAAGGTAAGCACTGGCTTGAATGTAACCCCTTTTGTATCACAGTCCATTCTGTGCTTCATATCCATAGGGGATCTACGAGGATGTTGCTGGGAACCAGATCAAGACCCAGCACTCCATTCCAGGAACTCTTGGTCCAGCTATCTGCAGTTGACTCAGAAACGCAGGCCGGTGTGGGAATTCACAGCCTTTGAACCACATCAGGCACAATAATTGAGGTCCCACGGTGGCTGACATTTTTTCATACCACTTGGTGAAAAGAACCTGGCAGAGGTCCAGGAGCCTGGTAGCTAATATCTCCATTACACAGAAGTGGGTACTTGATGGTGGAGAGTCTCACACTGGCCAGTTGTTCAGCCACACATCTGACCCTCTCCCTGTCCCTTTGCCCTTAGACCAGGTCCCAACCACTGTGGGTATCTTTTCCCACAGAAGCCCCTCCCCTCTCCATAGCTGGTCTTGCCAGCCAACAGTGGTAGAGTGACACAGATATGTCTGACTTGCACTTTGGCCCACTTGGAGAAAGTTACAGAGCCTTGGGACAAGGGTTACGATAGCCCTAACCCATCTTCAGGGTCCTGATCATAGGGAAGGGGTAGGCTTGTATGCCACAGGTGCTATAAAACCCAGACCCAAAGCGTCTCCCAGTTCCTGACTCCAAGGGGGCCCCGGCCACTGTACATAACCAGTCTTTTCTGCACGGGCCTTGCGGACCTCCTGGATGACCCAGACTCAAAGACCATGGTGGAGGCTGGGTTCATTGGCGAGCTATATGAGTAGTTTCGGCGCAGCCTGGGAACTCAAAGGGGTGCTGTGGGCCCCAGACCAGCACTAGAGCATGAGGCTGGAGCTGGGCTTCTGTCCAGGCCTATTTCAGAAGATCCAGCTGTTTCTTCTGCACTTGAACTTGACCAGCTATTCTGGGATTTCTTTTCCACATTATCTTGGTAACTTTTACAGTGGACCACAGAAGAAACTTGGATGAAGAACAAGGTGGTGCCTAGAAATTAAGACAATGAGCCTTGCAGGGATCAAAACCAGGCTTCCCTTAGCCCCACACATGCCTCATGTGACCTCAGAAAGCTCCAGAAGATGGACCATTTAGCTACCAAGGTTAAGTGGTGGTGGAGAGGATCTCCACCATGGGGAGGGTGGCCAGAGACCATAGGATGCCTGAGTGTGGGCAGAGTTAGACTGAGCCTGTGTGGTCCCGCTCCTCCACAGCCTCAACATGGCAACCTAGGACCAAGGAGCGGAGCCTACTCAGAGTGTGGCTCTGCCAGCAGCCCTGAGCCGCCTTAGCCAACAGGTACCTTCCAGAGTTGAGGCAGATGTCCTCATTTATTGTCATCTGTGCCTTTCTTTGTTCATTTATATCCCACTGTGCTTCAAAGAGAGCCTGGCAGCGAAGAACCAGCCTCCAGAAGCCAAGACCAAGCCTGGACCTTCAGCCTCCCCTTCACTTCTGGGAGGAAGGTCACGGGAAGCACACCTCTGGCTTCTTGTCTGCTGGGCACCTGGTGGAACAGAAGCCGGTTGTACCCTAGAGATGAGACGGAAGCAGCAGGGCTCTTGGGGTTTCATGCTGCCTTATTTATATTAAAGGAAGGATTCAATTCTTATAAGGAGTAGAGTTTGTTTTTCACTCAGGAAACCTTAGAGCAGAGTTGGGGGCGAGGGTAGATTTCCTATTGGCAAGCAAAGCTTCACACACGCTGTTTTATTCTTACACCCTCAGGAATTTTTTAAAATAACAAAATGGAATAGTTCTGCCTTTGAGGTGCCTTGTGCACTGCCCGCAGGGTCCCCCAAAGTGCTTTGGAAAGCTGGCTGCAGGGCCGAGTCCAGCATGAGGCCTGATTCATAGAGCAGGTCTGTGTTAACACCCGAAGGACCTGGAAGAAATGAGTGTTTGCTCTTTGAAGAATCTGTCTTGAAACTCAAGTCCTCCGAGCTCACAGGGCCTTTCCAGGAAGGACAACATCCTCTCCCGATACCTTTGCAGCAAAGATGTCCTCCCACCTCCCAAGGATACTGGGCAGCATCGGCATCTCCTGACTTGCTCTGCTGTAGGTCTAAGAACTGCGTTTGCTGCACCTGTAGACAACAGTGAGTAGGGAGGGCTACGAGGTTGGTTGTGTTAGGGGAAAGCACTATGTCCTCAAAGGCCCCAGGCCAGGGCCTGAGGAGATGGCTCACTCAGTAAATTTGTGCTTGGCGCACAAATACAGGGACCCTGAATTTAATCCCCAGAGCCCAAGTGAATAGCCGACGTGGTAGTAATCTCAGACAAACAGACAGAGATGAATCCCCAGGGCTTCCTGCCTCGCCAGCTTAGCCTTGCTGACCAATAAAATACCCTGTCTCCGAAACAAGATAGACTGCTCCCAAAGAAAGAACTCGATGCTGTCCTATGGCCTACATACACACACAGAGCCCCAGCCCCCTGTTTTAGGGAACTTCCCTTATTACCATGAGATAACCAAAACGACTGAGGAAGAGAAGAGTGCATACGGCTCACCATTTAGAAGGTTCTAGGTTCTAGATCAGATGGCTGTATCTGACATCTGCTGAGGGTGGCACAGAGTGGGGGCTCAGTGCGTTGGTTGGGGTAAAAAGCCAGGCTGAGGCTCTTATGCTAACCTTTGTGAGAACTAACCAGTGTCACACAAGAAACACCTTGAGCCGGTGCAGTGGCTCACACCTGTAATCCCAGCACTTGGGCAGGCAAAGACAGTTGGATCTCTGTGAGTTCAAGGCCAGCCTGGTCTACCAAGCAAGTCTAAGGACAGCCAAGGCTACAAAGAGAAACCCTGTCTCGAAAACAATTTTTAAAAAAGAAAAGGAACACATGATCTCCCTCAAGGTCCCTTAATTTGATGTTCTTTCACTAGACTTTACTTCTTAAAGTTGCTATTACACCACACAAGAACCAGTCTTCTAAAGCAAGAACTTTTGGCAGGTGTGGACTGGCAACAACATCCAAACTATAGCTCCCTGGCTATAGCTAGCATGTTGATTCATTACCAAGTCTGTCACGTAAATCCCCCAGAGAGCTTGGCCTGTTGCCTTGAGCCTGCATGGTGCTCCCAATCCAATCTGAGGTGACTGTGTAAAGCTCTAAAGTATCCCCCAGGTGGTGCAGTTGAGGAAAACTTCTTAGCTTCCTTCCAAGAGAACCCCAGTGGGCTGCTTTATTGGAAGACAGGCCTGGGGGAAGCTGATCCCTTTGCTGGAGACCTATGGTCAGTATGGCCACTGTGGTACCAGCTGCACCACAGCTTTTTTTCCCTGAGCACAACCGCAGTCCCACAAGTGGCCAGGGCAGCAGGTGGCTGGGGAAGCCCAATTCCTGGCAGGTTGGTACAGGCACTGGGAGGCTGGTGCATGGGGGGCACAGTTCAAAGGGAAAGCCAGGTGACCTTCTAAGTTCCATGAGGAACCGGAGTGCTCCGAGGGTGTAGCTCAGTTGGTAGAATACCGGCCTAGCATGCACAAAGAGCTGGGCACAGTCCCCAACACCACATAAACTGGTATGATAACATGCCTGCAAAGACTGAAACCCGGTGTGGGTGGGGTCAGCACTCCCTGGGTGGCCCTCACTATCTGTGTCACTGGGAACAGGCTCCTGTGCTCCACTGCAGGCTTCAGTGACCTCACTAAGTCACAGTATCTACATTTTGCCCAATTTCCCACCCAAGAAATCCAAGGACCCTGGTGCCTGGGGTGGTTAGGGAAAGCCTGAAGAAACATGGAGGATGGACAGCCACATTGCAGCAGCCCCTGCTGTGATCCAGCCCCCTTCTGCTCACACAGGCATCAACTCCAATGACTCCACATCAGTCCTGAATGGATGCTCTTACTGTAGCCTCCATTTTCCAGACCAGGAAATGAGATGCAGAAGGGTCAAGTGACTTGACTGGGGTCACATGGGGGTATATGGCAGTCAGGATTCCAACCAGATTCCAACCATGATTCCAAAAAACATGTATGTGCTTGTATATGCAAGATGGAAATGGATCCCCTTCTGAGTGAGATTCAAGCATCTGAAGTAGGAGGAGGGAGGAAAGGAACTGGATGGATAAGTAACACAATGAGGGGATCACGAGTGGGGAGGAGGGAAGGCTGGGAGAGAGAATGGAAACAGTGGGGGGGCCATCTCTGGGAAGGGGAGGCTTCTGGGAAGCTATGCTGGTGACCCTAGCTGACACTTCTACCAGTGGGGGACATGGAGTCTAAAGAGACCCAACTCCTGTAGCCAGGCAGGACTTCCATGGAAGGAACATGGACACCAACCCACCCACAAAACCTTCAGCCCAACATATGTCCTGCCTACAAGTAGCGCAGGGATAAAGATGGAGCAGAGGTTGAGGGAAGGGCCAACCAATGACTGGCCCAACTGGAGAGCCACTCCATGAGAGAGAGCCAACCCCTGACACTACTAAGGATGCTTGCAATGCTTGGAGGCAGGAGCCTAGCATAACTGTGAGAGGCTTTATCCAGCAGCTGATGGAAACAGATGCAGAGACCCACAGTCAAATAATAGGTGGAGCTTCTTGGGGTGTCTTGTGGAAGAGTGGGGGTAGGGTTAAGGGAACCAGAGGGAGCAAGGACACCACAAGAAGACCTACAGAGTCAACTAACCTGGGCCCTGGGGCCTCACAGAGACTGAACCACCAACCAGAGGGCGTGCATGGGCTGGACCGAGGCCCCTACACATATGTAGCAGATGTGCAGCTTGGTCATTATGTGGGTCTCCTAACAATTAGAGTGGGGGCTGTCTCTGACTCTGTTGCCTGCCTGTGGATCCCTTTTCCCTAGCTATGTTGCATTTTCTAGCCTCAGTGGGAGAGGATGCACCTATTCCTGCCATGACTTGAGGTGTCAGGGTGGTTTGGTCCCAGGGTGAGGGCATCCCCTTCTCTGAAGATAAGGGGATGGATCGGGAAGGGTATGAGGATGGGACTGGGAGGAGAGGAAGGAGGAGGGCTACAATCAAGCTAAAAGTAAATAAAAAAAAAAAAAGATGGAGAAGGGTCTGTGAGGCCAAATCATAAACATCTCGAATGCTAATCTAAAATAAAAGGTGACTTCATGCAGTGGGCAGAGGTGAACCGTTGGTGGTTTTTTATTTGCCTGATTCGTCTACAGCTATAGAGTCATGAATTATGTGCTCAGTGTGGTGTGAGGGGTATGTGGCTGTCCTCCAGAGCAAGGCTGGTGGCAGCTGTGCCAGCGGCCAGGGAATGTCCAGTCTCTCCAAGGCTGTGATTCAGAATTTGTTCGGTCTAGTCTCCATCTCCTGAGAGAGCTGGGAGTTTGTTTGGTTTGGCCAACAGTGAGCCCCAGGCAGAGCCAAGAACTACTTGCAGGGGGAAACACGTGCCTGAAGCTGGCCTCATCTCCCTTTCTCTGCACCCTGCTTTGCCCTGCCAGGGATGGGAATTCTTAGACTCGACTTTTCTCAGTGCTTTCTAAAGATAGCTGTTCTTTTAGCTAGTATTCTCTCTCTCTCTCTCTCTCTCTCTCTCTCTCTCTCTCTCTCTCACACACACACACACACACACACATAGCAATACCATCATGATTTTTTAAACTGGCAAAAATCAAGTAACGCACAAGTTCTCACTGCCAACTCTGAGCCCACCCTCAGAAATCACTAGCATTGTTTCCTATGTCTACTCCCAGCTCTCCCCAACCTATGTGTATTACATGTACAAATGCCTTCCTTCTGCTCTTACACACGACAGCACACCATCTAACTTTCCTGGTCATCCCGCTAGGCACTTGTCTCTACCTTACTCTTTAAGGTAGCTGCTCACTGTCTCATTTTGTATTCCCATGTGCCTCAGTTTACTCATCTCCCTACCAAGGAGCCCTGTTGTCTCCAGTGCTTGTCACTTTCCTCTTAGAAGCAACACTGGAGTGAGCATGACTGAGCACTCAGCATGTTCCCAAGAGAGCTTTCCTACCCTAGTGGTCACTATATTCCATACTGACAAACTTGCTTCATGTGTGTTCACCAAGCGTCTTTCCATAGAAATGATTGCCAGAGGTATGTGAGGATTGTCAGGACGTGTGAGAGAGCAAGGCACTGGTTCAGGTGCACACTGCTGAGACAGGCACTACGAGGAAGGGTACATGGAAGACAGCAGCTCTGACCCAAAGAACTGGGCCTGTCAGGAGGCCAACAGCTCCAGACTGTCAGGGATCCCTAAAGACCATAAATAAAAAATAAAATTGGTAGCTCTGAGGCCTACTAAAGAGGAATGTAAGAACAACCAGGCCAGCTCTGCACATGAGCTTTTAGCCATTTAGCTGCCTCACAAATGGGTAATGCATGGCATAACGCTGGGGAGAACCTCGTGCACCCAGATTGTCCTGTCCTCCAAATATGTGTGCCTAGCCCATCTAAGCATGGCTGCTTTGTCTCTGCGCAGTATGAGGGTCTGCTGTGGGGGTAAAAATAGCATTTGTCACTGCTCTGGTGTTCCTCTGCAGCCCCAGAAAGAGATTAGAAAGTAAAACTCTCAGCAACAAATTATCTTCCAGCAAAATGGAACCACACAACCCTCAGAGATGTTCGGACACATTCCTTCTTTCCTC